CAATTACAGCTCAGATCCAGCAGGTGTCCCCTAGCTTATATTTTTTTTTCTCTTTGTTCACTCCAATTACAGCTCAGATCCAGCAGGTTTCCCCTAGCTTATACATATATTTGTTTCTCTTTGTTCACTCCAATTACAGCTCAGATCCAGCAAGACGTGTCAACACTAGCAGGTGTCCCCTAGCTTATATCTTTTTTTCTCTTTGCTCTCTCAAACTACAGCTCAGATCCAGCAAGACGTGTCAACACTAGGCTGTATTGGTTTCCCCTGGCTTATATCTTTGTTTCTCTTGGCTCACTCAAATTACAGCTCAGATCCAACAAGACGTGTCAACACTAGGCTGTATTGGTTTCCCCTAGCTTATACATATATTTGTTTCTCTTTGCTCACTCAAACTACAGCTCAGATCCAGCAAGACCCGAACGACCCCACCAAGTGGCAGATAGTGAGCAACAGTGCCCAGGCCACGCCTTCTTTGCCCGCCACCGGCTCTCTGCCTGTCGTCTCGTCTGGCCCCGCCTCCTCCAGCTCTGAGAGCACGCCCACTGGGCGGAGACTGCGGAGAGTGGCGTGTACTTGTCCCAACTGCACCTCCACCGAGAAGTGAGTACCGGTACAAGCCGGGGAAAAAAACGTTTTTCAAACCTATGGTAGAATTTTCCACCCTGGTAGAGTTGTTTTTTTTTACTGACTTTGTCATCTGCACAAAGTATATATATTATATATATATACCTGCTGTAACAGCCATCTGTATAAAACAATCACCTGTGCAAACGGCCACTTTCCGTTTCCTCCCTTGTGTATTTTTTTTACCTTACAATGACACTGTGTGAGATGGCCACCTGTCTAATAAGGTCACTTTTTTCCTTGAAAATGTGTGTGGTCATCTTAGACAGGTTCGACTGTATATCGTTGGCCACATGATACTAACAATGTCACTTGCCGAAAATTTTGAAATTTTTTTTATTGCTGTTTCTTAATCTGCGTTTGCATGTGCTCAAGAAATTCTTGCTCTTACCAAGACTTATCCTCTCTCTCTCTCTTGCCCTTTTTAACTCCCAGTGGAGCATAGGCCGCCTACTACATTTCTCCAGCGAAGCCTGTCCTGTGCATCCTTCTCTAGCAGCAAGACGTATCATTATTTGCGTGTATATTTTGTATTTCAGAGTGACCGGCGAGAACAAAAAGAAGCAGCACATCTGCCACATACAAGGCTGTGGGAAAGTCTACGGGAAGACGAGTCACTTGAGAGCTCATCTCAGGTACGTCTCTGTGGCTTGGCCTAACACTGTGGCTAAGTGTCTCGAGCAACGATCACTTTTTATTTTAATTTCGATGTACAAATTGAATATGTTGTCCTTTTATATATATACGGACGATGGATGTTTTGGCTTTTTGGAAGAACCTTTGTTATTCACCACATTCTTACTTTCTTTCTTTTCGTGGTAATTTACCGTGCTATTTAAAAAAAAAAAATTTTGAAGAGCATGGAAGCCGACCATGAGGTACATTTGTAGTTTTTATTTGCCAAATGTTTTTTAAAGCTTTTTTGTTGTCACCTTTTCTGCATCCTGGCCTGTAGCTACCATTTTAGTTATTCCTGTCATAAACCATGTATTCAGTGGGTAGTTGGCGGGTGCTCTAGTGTGGTTTGCTCCTTCTTTCCTATAAAAAATCTGTCGTCTCTATCTCCCCTCCTTCTTTTTTATGTTTGTTACTCACTTGTAACACTTCTAATCTTCGGCACTTTTATGACCTTTTTCTGTTGCAAGTGCCGTAAAACTCTTACTTACTTACTAACTACCTGTTACGCCATCTGGCGTTTAGGGCAGCAACAAAGGATCTCCAGCTCTGTCTGTTTTGGGCCGTCTTGGTAAAACTTTTACTAAAACTAAACCAAACCATGTATTCCTGTCATAAACCATGTATTCCTGTCATAAACCATGTATTCTTGTCATAAACCATGTATTCCTGTCATAAACCGTGTATTCCTGTCATAAACCATGTATTCCTGTCATAAACCATGTATTCATACATGTTTTTCTGACTGCAGGTGGCACTCCGGAGACCGCCCGTTTGTGTGTAGCTGGCTGTTCTGTGGTAAGCGCTTCACGAGGTCGGATGAGTTACAGCGACATAAAAGAACTCATACAGGTACGGCAATGGTGTTTGCTCAACAATGTACTTTCACTTTCAGAGACTTACTTTACTTTACTTTACTTTTCCGGTTCAGCGGCCATTTGGGTTCTAGCCCTTTGGTCTGTCGATATGGCAAAGAATTTACTGGTTTTAATCTGCTGTGCTTTATGGCCGTATTTCCAATGTCTGGGGAGGCAGGTAGGTAGGTGCTTTCAGAGACCAAACCAATGTATTGATTTTGGCCTTTTCCCGACAGTAAAAAGAAAAAAGTAAAGTTGTTCCCGCATCTGATCCGGACATTGGGGATTGCTTTTTTAGTGAGACAACTACCTAGGCCTTAGGCATATTGTGGTAGGGTGGCCAGTTCCTTTCCACGCCGCCTTTCCTGACTGTACTCTGAGTATTTGACCTGGCGGGTGGTTGGAAGGTGCTACCTGTATCACCACCTGTATGTCCTACGTCTTTTCTGTTCTACGGTTGTTTCTGTCTGTCTGTCTTCCCTTTTCCTGTACTAAATGATTGTTATTGTGGCAATGGCCTTTTCGTATCTTCAAACTCAAAATCAAAAACTATTTGATGCTTCATTGTCAAAAAAGCTTCAGTTCTTCTCAAGGAAAAAACTAACTAACTTATCTTCTTCGTGGGCGGTTGGCAGGTGCTCTCGTGTGGTTTGCTTCTTCTTTCCTATCAAACATCTATCGTCCTTATCTCCCCTTCTTCTTTTTTATGTTTGTCACTCTCTCGTAACACCTCTAATCTTCTGGCGCTCATATGAGCTTATGCTGTTGCGAGTGCCGTAAAACCTCTACTAAAACTAAAACTGACTTATCATCAAACTTGAAGTATCTTTTTGTCTTGTCATTGAAAAATACTGAAGTTTTATTCATTTGTTATGCCTTTCATGCAAAGATGATATGAAAAGACAGTAGATCTACCCGTATTTCACTTTTCAAGGAAATGGCATTGATAGTGGCTTTTTCTTCAGTTGTTTCCCTTGACTTAGAAAACTTTTTTTCGGATTTGATCAAAATCTGTTGGAGCAGGTATTGGTTGAGAGAGTCACGTACTCCACGTTGAGCGTGTAGGGATTCTGCTCAACTTGTTAGCCTTGTCAAGACCGTAACACTGTTAACACATAATATATCAATATATGGAAAATGTCCAAGACAAGAATTTTTTGCTGGCTCCCCTAATAATAATAATAATAATAATAATAATACTAATAATACTAATAATAATAATAATACTAATACTAATAATAATTTTAATAATAATAATAATAATAATACTAATAATAATAATACTAATAATAATAATACTACTAATAATAATACTAATAATACTAATAATACTAATAATAATAATAATAATACTAATAATAATAATAATAATACTAATACTAATACTACTACTACTAATACTAATAATAAAGGTCACTTCTATAGCGCCCACTTTCTGGTGGATTTAGGTGCTTTATAACATATATAGAATCTTTGGAAACTTCAGCAGCCAACACAATGACCCATTTCCTGCGTACACTGGCCCGATTAACGTACAGCAACAAGCCTTTCAAGTACATGTACTCCCATAATATGACAAAAGGGCACAAGTGCTAAAAGACAGTCAATATGGCTGCTGATCACACACCTGTTGTTGAAAGACAGGCTCTGGTGTGGTGTGCTTCTTCTTTCCTATCAAACATCTATCGTCCTTATCTCCCCTCCTTCTTTTTTGTGTATATTACTCTCTTGTAACGTACATCTATTCTTCGGCACTTATATGACCTTATTGTGTTGCAAGTGCTGTAAAACTCTTACTAAAACTAAAAGACTTGCTCCATAATCCTACCAAAGAGCTCAGGACAGTCTCAGACAAGGCTGTGAAGGGGTGAAAGTCGGTAAAAAGTGGGTGGTCACTGTGAAGTAGGGATGGGCAATGAGTCGCTTTAGCAAAATCCGGATAATAATTATGTTAGTGCATCTCTTTGGCGAATAATATGTTATGAACCGCTTAGACAAACGGGTTAGCATCACTTCAATAAATAGGTGCACCCATTTCGCCAAGCGGGTCAGGAAAGAGAGTTTAAGAGTCTGAATTTGGATAACGTTTCTTTGGGAATTATCCTGTTATCCGGATGGAATATCCGGATTTTGCCCACCACTACTGTGAAGAGGTTGACAAGCAATGGTTTACAGCCTTGAAAGTAGGTCAACCCAGATGTTGATGTTGTCGTACGAATACCGTAGTATTTTTGTGCATTTTTAAAATGTAGTTTGAAATCTTTTCTTGCAGGAGACAAAAAGTTTCAGTGTCCCGAGTGCAGTAAACGATTCATGCGAAGCGATCATCTGTCCAAGCACATCCGCACACACAACAGCAAGAGACAGCTGCTGGGAGACGCTGTGTCCAGTACTCAAGGTAAGTCTGGGATTGGGCGTGGTCGTCCCGTGTTTGTGTCCAGTACTCAAGGTAAGTCTGGGAGTGGGCGTGGTCGTCTCAGTGTTTGTGTCCAGTACTCAAGGTATGTCTGGGAGTGGGCGTGGTCGTCTCAGTGTTGTGTCCAGTACTCAAGGTATGTCTGGGAGTGGGTGTGGTCGTCTCAGTGTTTGTGTCCAGTACTCAAGGTATGTCTGGGAGTGGGTGTGGTCGTCCAGTGTTTGTGAGACAGTTGTTTCTCTGCCGCTGCCTTCTGAAGCTGCTGCTGGTCCAGGAATTCGTTCTGATATCTGTTATCTAGTACAGCACCTGTGCCAGTGTCAATCTATTGTCGGTATGTCAAGCATCCTAGTGAAGTCAGGCGTTCTGTTGATGAGGCCAGACATCCCTCTTGCATTGTCTTGTATTAAGCATTCTTCAAGCTTCTGTGGTCATAGGTATCAGTATGACGTTGTATGGGCATGTTTCTGACTTGCGGATCTTTTGCTTCCTGTAGATATTAACTGCTCAGTGGAAGACTCAGTATGTCACTTTGCTTCTTCTTTCCTATCAAACATCTATCGTCCTTATCTCCCCTCCTTTTTTTAATGTTTGTTTCTCTCTTGTTACCCCTCTAATCTTCTGGCGCACATATGACCTTATGCAGTTGCGAGCGCTGTAAAACCTACTAAAACAAATACTTTTCCAAATGGCATATAGCAGAGACGTACGTGCCAGTATGTATGTGCATTCACCCTGTTGTGTTGTTCCCAGTCCCTGGATGGGAAAAATATGACCTAGACCCTTCTCATCTGTTTAGCTTGTTAGTAGCTCGTTTTGAAATTGCCCACTTCTTAGCCGGCTGTTGACGGGTGCTCTGGTGTGGTTTGCTCCTTCTTTCCTATCAAACATCTATCATCCTTATCTCCCCTCCTTCTTTCCTATCAAACATCTATCATCCTTATCTCCCCTCCTTCTTTCCTATCAAACATCTATCATCTTGATCTTTTCTCCTTGGTGGTTGACGGGTGCTCTGGTGTGGTTTGCTCCTATTTTCCTGTCACACAAAACTTATATGTCATCTTGGTCTCCCCTCCTTCTTGTTCGTGTTTGTTACTCTCTTGTAACACCTCTAATCTTCGGCACTTATATCATGACCTTACTGTGTTTCAAGTGCTGTAAAACTCTTACTGAAGCTAAAGAGACAATACATCAGGGAATGTTTTCTTCCTGGGACCAGGTCTGGACATGGAGCATGGGATGGACGGGGAAGACGATGACGAACAAGATGGGTGCATGATCGACGAAGAGACGAAAATCTACCGCACGGCCATGTCAGAAGATGAAGAAGACGACCCAGACCACAGCGGGAATGTCAAGCTGGAATCTCTCGTTGTTTGAAGTCCCCTCTCTTTGTGTGATAGTCATAGAGATCACTTCATCGTTATTTTACCCCTGATCATTCCCATTCCCCCCGTTTGTGGGTGGTTGGCAGGAGCTCTGGTCTGGTTTGCTCCTTCTTTCCTATCAAACATCTATCGTCTTTATCTCCCCTCCTTCTTTTTTTGTGTTTGTTACTCTCTTGTAACACCTCTAATCTTCGGCACTTATATGACCTTAATGTGTTGCTAGTGCCGTAAAACCTCCTTTGATCTTTCTCATTCCCACCGGGTTTTTTTTGTACTTCAATGCCAAATAACAAAACTGTTATGTCTGTGTGTGTGTAGACACGGGTTTTGGTGCTTGGCTGAATGTTCTTTATGTGAGGACACAGCCGTCAATTCAAACTTGAGTGGTCGAGTTGATTGCCAAATATTGACTTTTCCATTTTTTCATCTCTAAACAGAAAAATGTGTCCTTTTAAAGTAAGATGTAAGACCGGAAGCCACAAAATGACTAGAAAAGAGCTTAAATAGTTCTGAACAGGCTAGGGGTGTTCAGTTTTCCAAATACTCATCACATGACAATGCGTAAATTTACGATAATTTCACGCCAGAGTTCAGAAAGTTGAAGACCACCTATCCTGTACAAACCTATTTTAACCCTTTTCTACTTATTTTGTGGATATCTCTAGTTCAATGTGTTCAGGACACATTTTTTCTTCTAGAGATGAAAAAAAAAAAATGAAAAATCAATATTTTAGCTTCAACTTGACCCCAGGGGTGTGAATCATTGGCTGTGTCTCCGTTTAAAGCTAACAATGGTGCAGAAATATTCAGAGTCGCAGAATACCTCTTGAAAATTAAATGAGTGTGGGGAAAGTTGTTGCGAGCGGGCTCTGTTTCAGTTTATTTTTTTTTGGGGGGTGGTTATCATCATCTACACCTAGCCTTCTCAGACAAGGGCGTAAAATCTTGGAGGTCCTGTGTGCAAGTCGCGCTCGTTAAAGATCCCTAGTTGTCTAAAATCAATAAGAGTAGGCTTGGGCCGCTACCCGTGCAAAATTCAAAATTTTTTACTAACTAATAATGTTTAATGCATCCCTGGCGCTCATATGACCTTATGCAGTTGCGAACACCGCGAAACACTTACCAAAAACAACGCGAAGTATGTTTTCTAAAATCAAATAATGCCATGTCTTTTACTGCGTCTCATCGAGAACGAGGAAGAAGAAGAAGCGAGAACTGCATCTCGTGAACTCATCTCAACGAATAAGGATCTATTTATTATTTTCTATGTTGATATGTTTACTGAACAGATTTCATTTTTTGAACAAGAATTGAAACTGGAGCAAATCCGTTCTCCCCTCAGTTCTATCCGTGTATAGTTGGGAAATGGGGACGGAGGAGGAGAATATTTATTTTGTGCGTAACGTTTTGACTCTTGTACGAGAGACTTCGAAGTGACAGTAAAAATGGTTCTGTCTTTTTTTTTTTCAACTTTGCATTTTCAGTGATTGCTGTTTCATAATATGTACAGAAAAACATTCCAACAGTCTTTCTTGAATATCTGTGGCCTTTTACATTTGCTGTGTTGTTTCACGTATTTGAAATGTAAAATGCACATATGAGTGGTTACTATGTCCGTCAGTAACACTTTGTGGTTGAAAGTTCAATTTGTATTTTTATTCGGAGCGTTGTCTCAACATGTGATGCCTGTAGATGATGTTCATCTTTTGAAGTAGCTGTTTTCTGCTTTTATAAGTTTGTTGTCGTAATTGCCATTCCAATATACCTGAGCTGAGCTGAGACTAGCTTTTTAGTATGGCATAGCTTGTTCACGTTCTTCTGTCTGCAGTAAAAGTTTTACTAAAACAAGATATAACTAATCCCTCTGTTTAATCTTCTCAGGCCTTTTCGTGCGAGTCGAAAAGTTGGGTGACCTTCAGAATCTGACCTTTAACTGTGAACAGACAAAAGTGGAGAAGCAATGAAGTCTAAGCCCTGTATATTTTGTATTTTCTTAATTTTAAAAAAAAGGTTATTTAAAGTAGTAGGTGTAGTGTTTTGTACTAGTTTACTACAAAGTTTGTAGAACCAAGACGTTGTGAAATAAAGGCAAATAGACAAGGCTTGTTTCCTGTCTCAGCCGTGGGGGATGACGCCCTTTTTGAAACTTCATTTTGTCGGCCAGCCTTTCAGATGTACAAGGCTCAAAATTTTGGGGTTTTTTTTCGGGTAGTTTTTTAATCAGTGGCATAGGCTGCAGACACTGGAGAAATATTTCATTGAAATTCAAATTCCCAATGTTGAAAAAAAGCAGGAAAAGATCAGATACATAATGTCGAGATTTTCTTTCTCCTGTTAAAAATGTACTTTCTGGGCTTAGGACTTTTGGAACAGTTTGTTGAGGGTTTGTTACGTAACTTTAGCTGTGGTTGAGGTCATTGATATCTTTATGGAACAGTTTGTTGAGGGTTTGTTACGTAACTTTAGCTGTGGTTGAGGTCATTGATACCTTTATGTAACTGAAATTTCCTGGAATCACGCAGTTTTTGACCATCTCTTTTTTTCTCCCTTGAATCAAATTGAGCTTGACTATCTTTTTCCGTTTTTTGAATCAAATTGAGCTTGACAATCTTTTTCCATTGAATTAAGTAGCACTGTACGTAAGCCATCTTTCCCTTGAACCAAGTAACACCGTACGTAAGCCATCTTTCCCTTGAACCAAGTAACACCGTACGTAAAACATCTTTCCCTTGAACCAAGTAACACCGTACGTAAAACATCTTTCCCTTGAACCAAGTAACACCGTACGTAAAACATCTTTTTCCCTTGAACCAAGTAACACCGTACGTAAACCATCTTTCCCTTGAATCAAGTAACACTGTACGTAAACCATCTTTCCCTTGAATTAAGTAACACTGTAACTAAACCATCTTTCCCTTGAATCAAGTAACACCGTACGTAAACCATCTTTTCCCCTTGAAGCAAGTAACACCGTACGTAAACCATCTTTTCCCCTTGAATCAAGTAACACTGTACGTAAACCATCTTTTCCCCTTGAATCAAGTAGTCCTTGACTATCTGTACTGTTGTATAGAACTTTGTCACCCTCAGAAAGTCACCCTGCTCTGACTCTGTTTTGTTTTTTTACGTCAATAACATTTTACCCACTCTCTATCCAGCTCAGTCTATCCATGAGTTTAGATTGATGAGTTCAGCCAATTTTTCCTCTAACAAACATCCCTATTATGAACTGCTTAGTG